AATTCATCCTAATGATGCATAAAATTGACTGCAAAAAAATAATTGTACAGTTCTAAAATTATGTCAAATTATCAAACTCCATGGAAATTAGTATCGAGTGATGCCTCCTTGAGCCACGATGGCCTCATCTATATGGTTTGACATTGAGTTGGTCAAATTTTGAGTCTCTTCTGCTGTTATATTATCCCATGCCCTCATTATAGCTTCTTTCAAGTTGTCTTAGCGTCTAAATGCTCGTTTGCCAATTTTTCTGTCCATAAAATACCACCAATTTTCATTGGTATTGTTTGTGTCAAAGCATATATGGGGTAGTATAAGTTAAAAAGGAGTGGAAATACAACTTGAAAGAAGCTATAATGTGGGCATCGGATAATATAACAGCAAAAAGACCCAAAATTTGGCAAACGATCTAGATAAGGCCATCAAGGCTAAAGGATGCCCCACTCGATACTAATTTCCATAAAGTTTAATCAATTTGACATTTTTTTTTGCAGGCAATTTTATGCATCATTAGATCAATTGAGTAACATTCAATAGTTTTGAAAACCAATAAGTTCTTGCTGAAAGGTTCTTGATGGATTGCACATTGAATTAAACGCAGATAACTATAAGTAATTATTCTTTTTTTATTGAAATTTAAAATACGAGAAGACAACCCTTTAGTATGTTCAGCCATTACTCCTGCACCAATAAGATTGTCCTTTACAAGTCGTTGAAAGATTATCGAATTATTTTTTTGTAACATCGAAATATTTTTTTGTAAAATACTAAACAAACTCTCACTAGTTATACCAATTGTATTCTGTATAAACTTACTAAACTCTTCCCTCATGTCTAATTTGGAAATAATAAATCTAATAACTAAACAAACTTCATTGTTTGAACTGTTTAGACCTATTGAATCTTTCTATTATATATCAGTAAAAAATTTTTACTGATATATAATAGAAAGATTCAATAGGTCTAAACAGTTTAATAAAATATAATTATATTCCCCAAAACAATTTATTAGTTAATTTTGTGTTGCGTTTGATATATAAGAAGCATTTCTTAAATGATAATTAAGATGATCTTCTAGAGCTTTATTGCCAGCTTTTACACAAAAATGTAGCAATTTAATATATTTATCTGCGTTATGATTAAAAGAATTACTATTACCATAATATATATTGATTTGTCAAAAGAAAGATAATAAATTTTTTAATAATTGGTACCAATAACTTTCAATTTTAAGAAATTTGCGATTAAATTATTTTTCGAGACGTTATGTCAATTGATTAGGTTTTTTAAAACCAAAAAGATAATGAAGAAATTAAAACTTCAGCAGCATTTCTATCGACCTGTTTTTTATTGTTTTTGCCCAAAGACATGTTTCTATAATTAAGCAAAAGCATCATTCCAGTACTTGAATGGTTTACTTAATGTTCTACCGTTCTACAAGAGTACATTTTCAAGAAAAATTATAACCAAAAAGTAAACAGGGCAAACTGAGAGCACCAATTTGATCTGTTGAAAGCCATTGATTTTATTGATGGTATCAAACTAATATCGGACAAATATTTGTTTTTATCTTAGAAAGCTAAGCCTTTGAAACTTCGTATATTGGTCACTACAAACTGAAAAAAGCTTATTCGTACGATTCATACATTCATTACATATTCATAGTTTTTACTTGCTTAGCTTGCTCTACATAAATTCTAACATTTCTAAATTTAAAATAGTATTATTATAGTATTATATATATACATACATATATAATACAATAATAATACTATATATATGTATATTTATATTATATATGTATGTATACATATATCTATATATATATAATATATATATATATATATATATATATATATATATATATATATATATATATATTTATATATGTATACATACATATAAAATATATATTTATATATATTTATATATATTTATATATATATATATATATATATATATATATATATATATATATATATATATAAATATATTTATATAAATATATATGTACATATATGTAAAAAGAAAAGAAACTTTATTCTTGATCAAACGTATTTTGAGTACGAGTAACCATATCATATTGCCATGGAACCTGTCCTTGAGGAGAACTAAAAGTCTCGAAATGATTCCCTGACTGTTTTTGCATCGCGAGTATAATTATTTGAGCCTAATTGTTTTTGTAAATTTCTTAATCTTTGGTAATCCGAAATATTACTTCGCCATTCCTCCAGCTTGCAAACCAGAGGATGTTTCATAATCTACAAATTTTGAAGGGCAATATTGATTCAATGGTTCAAACTGACGACCATGCATAAGGTAGTTATGAGGAGCAGTTGCTACTTTAGTAACATTAATAACAACTTTTTCTTTTGCAATAATTGGTTTACGAAAAATTCTGCATCGTGCTGCCAAAATCCCAAAAGTATTTTCTATTATTCTGCGTGCTCGTGACAATTTATAATTATATATTCTTTCCATCAAAGATAATATTTCTCTAGGGTATGGTTTCACAAGATATTTCTTGAGAGGAAATGCCTCGTCTCCAATGAGAACATAAGGCAGTTTTATACTTGAACCAGATGGTTCATTGGGTTTTGGGATATGTAATAGTTTTGTTTCAAAAGCAATTCCCATCTTACTGTTTCCAAATACACCACCATCACTGTTCCTACCAGTATCACCGATGTCTACAAGAGTGAATTCATAGTTTGCATTGCAAACAGCCATCAAAACAATAGAATGCAATTTTTTATAGTAAAAGTAAAAAGAGCCTGATCTTGAGGGGGCTTGCATAACTATATGTCTCCCATCTATAGCCCCTATACAATTAGAGAAGTTCCATTTCCTTTCAAACTCATTTGCTATAAATTTCCATTCATTTTCACTTTTTGGGTAGCTAATATATTCTTTAGATAACAAATTAGTCCAAAGAGCAATAGAGGTTTCGTTAATAATTCTTCCTATCGAAGTCGGACTTATGCGAAACATCCCAGCTAGATCTATTTGCGAAGTGCCTCCAAAAATGTATCTCAAAGTGACCATTAATCGTTCACTAGCTCCAATTGTTTCACGCTTGACGGAAGATTTTGTTATCACCGGTGCGATTAGACTTAAAAATTGCTCATACTTTGTAGGTGACATTCTAAAAAACTTAAAAAAATATTCGTGATCGAAAAGTTGCATTTTTCTCTCTCTTAATAATTTTCTGACCCACAACCGCTTTTTATACTTTTGTCTTTTTTTGATTTTTAAATAATATAGTAATAGCATATATAAAATTTTTTGCTGAGGATTGATAAAACCGCCATTTTTATTAATTTGCTATCATTTTTTAAAATTTTACGAGTACAAGTGGAAATGGATATATCCCATCCGATCTGTCCAAAATCTTGTTTTTATCCCATCCCTTTTCCGATCCCTTGGAAAAACGGACGAGTGGAAACTGACCTTAACTTCCGTACGTGCTTCGAAATTTGGTAGCTGATCAAGTGGGTCTGTTGTGAATACTGACTGAAATTAATCATTCAAGATTTTAGCGACTTCGTTTTTGTCGGTAGTTATATTTCCCGACAAGTCTTCCATAGTTCTAATAGTGTCTTTGACCAGCTTTTTATGTTTAACGTGATTGTGTAGCTTTATTGAGTCTGATTTGAAGACATAAGCGATACCCATTTTATAGTCCACTACGGCCTTTCAAACTTCTTTTGAGATCTTTTTACAAGCGAGTTTGTGCTCCAAGCGTATCGAGTCTTTAAGCGATGATCCGGCATATGATAATGATTATGATCCGGCATTATACATGATTATGATCCGGCATTATACATGATTATGATCCGGCGTATGATAATGAATATATGATAATGACTACTCTACCATTATCTAAACGCCTGTAGTTAGGATAACCATTGAAAATTGCAACAGTGCGAGGATTAAACTCGTTAGGAAATTTTTTTGTGCAAACTCCATCCTTTATGCAAGGAGAATTTGGATTTACAATCCCAAATGGTCCATGAATCATACATGTTTTTACAATTTCAAAAAGTTTAGGATCAACAGTTTGATCTAGAATTTCAGCTGATATTAAACTATCAATATCCTCTGCTGTTTCTAGCTTATCATCATTTACAAAGTGTAATAAAATATGCACATGTAGCAAACCACGTTTTTGGAACTCAATAACCTGTACATGACTTACAACTTTGCCTAAGACTCCAAGTTTAAAAATATCACCTAAGAAGCATTTAAGTTTCATCTTAAATACGCGACAAACTAAATCAGGTCTGTCAGTTGCGCTCTCACCTGGATTTAAATTTTCTGTAATTTCTTTCCATTTTTAAATACAAGTAAAAGTATTAAAAAGATCTGGTTTACCATATTTCTTTATAATTGCCATTGCATCTTCAAAATTTTCTTTTAAAGCTCTTGGACTTCCAACATATGAGAATTGTAGTATAACAACACGACCCGGTCTTACATTTAGGTTATTTGCAACATTATTTACATACTCATGTAATGTATCGTATTTTTCACTTCTAAGTTTGTTTTGGTTATTTCTGATAAAAGCAAGGCGCTGTCCTTCAATCTTGACATATGCATCAACAGCATACTGTTAAAAAAGCTTCTTACCATAAAATATAGGACTAAACGTTTGTCTAATAGAAAGCCAATAATTGTAGTACTGAGACAAAGTAACACGATTTCTAACACGTGTTGCTCGGTCAGGATTGTGCTCTAGTTGATCATGCCGTCCTGCATCACCTCTTGGAAAAAAATATTGGATATATCATTGGATCTAGATTTGCAGACAGACTTGAAATTGTTTTTAAGGGTTGACCTCGAGGATAAATAACAATTTCTCTAGATGGAGGTGGAGCACCATCATTTCCTACAAACACAATGGCAACCTCTTCATGTGATGGAAGATTGTATCGACGTCTATCACACCCCTCAAGAAACAACATTTTGACAACAGAAATCGGTCGACCTTCTATAGCAGCTTAACGAATTTCTGCATCTTCAACTTCTGCCATGTTTTTAAATGCAAGTGCATATGGGTTCTCCTGATTAATTATAGTCTGCAAAAGTTCCATTAACTCGCGTATGCAATCATTTTGTTCCATTCGAAAGTTTAAAGCAGTATTAGGATCATAAACATATAATTGACAATAAGTAGGTGGTTCACCTTGCTGATGTCTTAGATTACCAATACGATGCATAATTTGCCCACTTATTCTAAAACAGGGTGTACCACGATTTGACGGAGGATCTATTGTGGCTATGAATGAAGCAAAAGATAGACAGGCATTATAATTTCGTATATGCTTGAAAAAATTTTGATTCAAAGCACGATCAACATGGTTGCCTGTCATTAAATCAACCATCAGCGGTGGATAAGGTGAAAGTGGAGATAAGACAACCTTTTCTGAATAGCAGCACAAAAAATGTGTTTCATTGAAAAAAATTTTAGCACCACAATACTGACAATTATGGTTCATTTCTCCTAGGTAATTACTCTCTATAAAAACATTATTTCTAGCTATGCAATGCATTCCACGCCCAAGTAATACTCGTCTAGCCTCATTTCTTTCATTTTGGCAACGATTAACCTCTTCACGTCTAGCCTCATTCCTTTCATTTTTGCGACGATTAATTTCTTCTCGCCTTGCCTCATTTCTTTCATTTTGGCGACGATTAATTTCTGCTCGTCTAGCCTCATTTCTTTCATTTTGGCGACGATTAATTTCTTCTCGTCTAGCCTCATTTCTCTCATTTTGGCGACGATTAATTTCTGCTCGTCTGGCCTCATTTCGACGATTTCTTTTATATTCAGCTCTTAAGTTACTTGACATAATTGAGAAATTGTTTATGTTTGATAAAACTTTATCTGGTTAATTTTTTGCTATACTAATCTAAAATGAACAAAAACAATAAAGTGCTATTTATCAGTTTAAACCTATCAAACTATGTGTATAGCGTCAAATAAAATGTGTGAATAAAAGTAAAAACTAAACTGGTTTGAAACAGAGATAAAGCCAGAAGTAACTTGTAATAACATAAGTAATAAAGTTGTAAGCAATAAAGTATTTTTTGTTACAAATAAAAAATTTTATTATTTTAAAAGTCATATTAACAGTAATTTTAAAAGCAAAATTAGTCACAAATTTAAAAATGATATGCCAACAATTGCAAACATGTTGCATCATATAGACCATATGTGGCTGACAACTGATTTTAAATACTATTTTATAATATTTCTAAAGAGAATAATGTAAAGAGATTAATAGGTGTATAGTGCATATATTAGACATATTAAACAGATATCATAGAAAAATAAAATTTTTAAATATATCTACCAAATCTTTCAAAAACTTTATAACACTTAACAAATAAAAATTATTACTAAAGAAAATTTAGTGTTATTAAATTTAAAAATGAGGATAAAAAAATGTAAAAACGTAAATAAATAAAAAAACCTTATACACAAATTATTAAAAACTTTTATAACATAAGAGTTCTTTTGTAAGTTTAGGATTTAAAAACAGAATTAAAAATCAAAAAAATAAAATAGTGAAAGTATAAAAATTAAAATAATAAATAATTTCAAAATTAAAAAAAACATTTTTTTAAAAAGTCAATTTTCTTTGTAATTAAAAATGAAGATAATTCTACCAGTAGCTTAAAAAAGCTACTGATAGAAATTAAAAGTGTTGAACCGCTTCCCAGCACCCCTCCTTCTACCAGTGGTGTCATGTGGGGCTTGTCTACACCATCTAAAGGAGGGATCATCTCCCCCATATTGACACCACCGGTAGAAAGCTCTTTGAGGTATCGGACCTGGGTGCTGGGATATCGCAGAAAATCTTGATGCGATGCCAAAAAATAAAAATGAAAACAGTAATGCTTAAGTTTTAATTCACATAAAACCCATAAAACTGCATAAGTATGCTAAACAGATTACCTGATATTATTGCTTGAGGTACTAATGTAGATACAAAAAAATAAGTAAACAAAGTAATCAGTAAATTAAGATATGCTATCTTAAAATTTTAACACACATAACACTCTTAAAACTGCATAAGAATGCTAAACACATTACCTGGTGGTACTGCAGATGACGTTATAGTGGAGGTAAAAAATATATTTACATAAACTAACATATACTAATCAATTAAACAGTTTATTTTACAGTGATTAAACCGCACACAAACATCAAAAAATTGAACAAAATGAAACTTAAGTGAACTTTGCTTACCAATTAAAAAGAAAAAAGCGACAAAAAAAACAAAAAATAAAAATAAAGAAACAATCCACAAGAACAATATTGTAACTTACTTAGTTGTTGAAATATAAGCCCTATAAAAAAAATGCTAAAAATTGTATTAAAAAAACTAGAAGACCATAGAGTAGACTTTTTTTTCTGAAAGTAAAATGCTATATCTTTATCTATAATACACAAATGAAATATAATCAAATTTTGTTTACCCATTGAATGTTCTAATTTTTCTAAATAAAATGAAAAACTTATAAACATTAAAATAAACTAACTTGCCAAATATAGAATAACTTTATGTGAAATATATATGTAATAAAAAAATAAAGAGCATGACAACAACAATAACAAATTGCTTACTTAGATTCTCAACAGAATCTTCTAATTTTTCTAAAAAAATAAATTTAAAAGTCACTTGCTGACTGACAAACTGTCACAACTGACAGAAGTCAGTTGCTAAATAACTTTAAAAAAACTAAAAAAGCATAACTGTATTTGCACTCAAAAAAAACAACAACAACAACAAAAATTCCTGACTTAGCTTGTCTATTACTTCCGCTAAACATTAAAAAAGTTATAATTAACAAATTGCTGAAATTGGTGAAATATATATCTTTGTAACATATCCTTTTCATAGACCAGTTGCAAATGTTCACATTTTTGCCGTAAACTAACGCATACGCAGTAGTTGGTAGGCAAAAGAAAATAAACAAAACATTATTGAAACATAATGCCTGTATCTTGTTGTGCTTTTGGTTGCTCCAGTAGAAAAAAAAAGGAGATTGTTTAAGTTTTTACCGAATTCCATTTGGAACAACAACAGAAAAAGAAAAAGAAAGAAGGAATTTTTTGATCAGAGCAATTAAACAAGATAAATGGTACTTTCAAGTGTTATTCCACAAGTTGACTTATTGAATGATATTATGATATCTATTTGTGCAATAGTTAATTTAATCAAAAGTGTTGTTTCTTAACCAATTACAAACATTTTTCTATTTAAAATATAAAAATAGTATTTGAATACTTTTTTTTAACAAAATTATGTATTGAGGTAATTATATATTGACATACTATAATTTACAATATATTAAAAGATAAATCTTAATGTTACATTGTCTTATCTGTATTTAGACAGGGAGGACAGTACCATTTTCTTTTAGGAATTTCTTTTATTCTAATACAAGCAAAATGAAACTATTCATACTTGCAATTAATATTGCCACATGGAACCATTTGACCAAATTGTGCTTTTTGGCAAAAACAATAGACTTTACTTGAATATACTGAATTTGGCAAACAACTCCTAGTCAATAATTCAGGTAAAATCTTCAAAGTAAACACATTACTTAACTTAACTAGCATGTCTTCACAAAACTTTGACAAGCGATAAGAGTAAAATTCATTAGAGGACCATATAAATAAATCACAATAAGGTAAATCACATACTATCATTTGGCCTTGCATTTGATAGTAGTAAGGGTGTTCTAATTTAATTACACGATTAGAATCCAATGAAAATTTTTTATCATTCTCTGAATATTCCGTTTACATATTTGTAAGGGCATTTAATTTCCACTAGGCCTTTTCCATGACAATAACATTCTACAAATGCATCAGGACTTGCACCGATTTCAGGAAATTTTTCATTGACATGCAATCCTGTCAAAGTTATTTTGAAATTTTTATGTTGTTCTGACATTTAAAAATATTTTTCTCTTGCTTTACCTTCATTTTCAGTTCATACTTTGTAGCTATTGTTCCATTAAAAGATTTATACTGCAGGATTTTGTTAATAAAACTTTTATAATCATTTTTTAACAAGTGACACGCTTCATAAAAGTAGGAAGCAGTAATCTTACCACATTTATGCTCTTTCCAACACTGTGAAAAACGTTGAGCATGAGTTATTTCTGATAATCTGTCAAAAGATTTTTGGGTATAACATTTTTTTCAAAGTTTAAATTGTTGTTTACCTTTATTTATTTATTTACCTTTATTTATTAAAGCTTCTTGTGAAAATTTTGTTAAATTTAGTTCAAATAGATATGTCAAAGGTTCTGGGATACACGTTTCATCAGTTTGTATCAGTTTCACTAGAATTCAAAAAGTCAGTTTCTTCAATACTTGTTAGAACAGCATCATCGATTCCAATTTCTTTCAATTCATTAAACTTGGACTTTGAAATACCAGCATACTGTTTATAAGAATAACAATTTTCATCAACAATCTTGGATATTTGATTATGAAGGGGTAACTTTTTTTTTTTTCTCGGGGAGCTAAAATTTATGTTTGCTAATGCTGTGTGACTATTATGCTTTTTAGATCGATTCCATCCACATTGTAAACTTGTGCGAGCAGTTTTATTGACTTCAAGCCTTATACAGGCTTCAACTTTAAAAAATAGAGCTGCTATATGATGCAAGCTAATCCGAATCTAAAAATTAAGTTATTAAAAACTTAGGTTTTCAATATATTAATTGTTATTTCAAACTATTCATTATAAATTATCTTAACTAATATAATTCTAATATAATATAATCATATTATAATCTTAAATAATCAAAATAATTTTATGTTGTTAAAACAACCTAACTTAATTACTAAAGTTAACATACCTATTTGATGTTTCTAAAAAAACTTAATCTTAATTGCTTATGTAAACATACCCAGCAACACAACTGCAGTTTCCATATAAAATATATCTTTTGGATTTGTGAACATAAATCCAAACATCATACATTGCTGTTTTTTTCCCTTGTCTTTGTCTTGGTAAGACCTAAAATAACAAAATTAATTTGGTTTAAAATTTATTGTAGTTGTATATCTTAGTTATATTTTAGATTTCACTAAAATTGTTTTTTTACCTTTGTTTTTAAAGCACAAAACTCAGACTCTTTATTTAAATCAGCATAAAAAACATCTTGCACGTGTCCACAGATAAAATAGTTAAAATCCTGAAGGGATTTGTAGGCTTTCATACTTTCTTTGCTATATAAACTTTGTGATTCTACTAAAAATGTGTATATATCACCATAACTGACTTCAGGGAACAAACTAACATTGTTTTTCCAAAATTTTTCTTCGATACCATAAGGATCGGGAAGCAAAACATTATTTTCTAATGTCAACTTCTTCAAATAAATTTCTTTGTCAGGATTAGCAAGAGAATTGAAGTAAGAAGACATTGTTTAGATGAAACTTTATTAAGTAGTCCAAATTAAAATTCTTGTTTATTTTATATTTTTGCCTACCAACTAACGCGCATGCGCTTAAATTGTAAACATTCGCAACTCGTCTATACAAAGTTAGCTTACTTTTGTTAGCAACAAATATTTTCTCCTCGTGATGTTTGTTTTTTTTGTTAATGTTTTATGAAGTTTTAGCTTTCTTAAAATGTTTTCTTTTGCGAGTGCATAATATCGTTACGTTACATATGTTTGTATATAATCTTTATAAAACTTCGAAAGTATTTTGTATTCTAAAATATTTAAAAAAATTTAAAAAAATAGCCGCCATTGGTAGGAGTCGAACCTCTAGTTCCTTGTTCAGAAGTTCGCCGCCTTATCCACTCAAGCTACA